CGGGAAAGAGGAAGAGAGAGGCAGGAAAGAGGAAGGGAGAGGCGGGAAAGAGGAAGGGAAAGGCAGGAAAGAGGAAGGGAGGGGCAGCAAGAGGAAGTGCTGCAGGCAAAAACAACTGTAGTAAGCAGCAACACTTCCTGTTGTTAAGAACAGCAGGATATTGTGGTCAAGCTGTTTTTCTGAAATGAGGATCAGTTGACTTCTGAGAAGAGCAGAACATTTGGTTTCCATTTCCTGGAAGGGTCCCACAGTAGTTATCCATTTTGCTGCCTCTGTCTTAGGCTAGCATGAGAAATAATGGCTGAGGGAGGCATCTGAAAATGACCTCCAGCCTCAGCATATGTATCCACATATATCAGCATATGCATACATGCATGGACTTGAGTGCATGCATGTGCAGGTGCACACACACACACACACACACACACACACCCCACACACACCAAGAATTAAAAAATTAAAGGAATGTTGTTGTAGGAGTCTGCTTGTTCATCCTGGCTTCCCAGAACTGAAATAATCACACAGAAATTGTATTAATTAAAACACTGTTTGGCCCATTAGCTCTAACTTTGTATTGTCTAATTCTTAGAATAAGTTAACCCATTTCTATCAATTTGCATAGTGTCACGTGGCAGTGGCTTACCGGCAAAGATTTGGTATGTCTGACTCTGGCAACTCCATGGCATCTCTCTGACTCTACCTCCTTTCTCACAGCATGCTGTTTAGTTTTCCCCACCTACCTAAATTCTGTTCTACCCTATCAGGCCAAGCCAGTTTTTTATATTCGTTAACCAATGAAAGCAACACATAAACAAAAGAACCTCCCACACCATTTCCCCTTTTCTGTTTAAACAAAAAGGAAGGCTTTAACTTTAACATAGTAAAATTACATATAACAAAACAGTTATAAAACAAGAATTACAGTTACAATATGTATATCTACTTTATCTTTTATCATAACTAAGAAAATCTGTAACTATAACTATAAATTCTTCTACTCTATCAAAGACTCCAGAAGGATATAATATTACCTATGTAAACAGGAAGTACATTGTAATCAACTTTTAAAACTCTAGAATTGACAGAGACATCTCGCTGCCTGGACAGTCACCCAAAGTTTTTCTGTACAGTTGGGGCATCCATCTTCAGCCTTAAAGGCCCATAGTATCCAACAGACTTGTCCACGAAGCAGGAAATTTCAAAGACAGTTCCACCTATGTTGGCACTTTGTCAGTAACTTTGTTCTGTGTCCTGCAGAATGTCTAGCAGACTCTTTTGTGTAGCAAGAACCTCAAAGGACCATCTCATCTTTAGTTAAGTTCAGCAGTCATTTCTCTATGGGTCCTGCATGTTCAGTTAAGTTGTCTAGGCAAGAGCAGTTTCCTGCCCAAATGGCTAGAAAACTCCATAAAGAACCTCTTCAATGATCATCTCCCTCTTGAAGTAGATTGGTGATGCCAGGAGCAGATGTATCTCACTGTCATGAAAAGTCCTAAGTTATTAAAACATTTTAAATCCCATATTCTGAAGGTCTCTGAAAGATTTGAAGAATCCCTAGTTAATTGAAATATATCCCTATATATCTAGAAAATCTAACTAACATAACTACAAGCTTGACTATTATATATGAATATCTATTAACTTACATTTCTTAATTATACATTACATTTTTAAATGAGCTACACAAACACAATACCTTAATCAAGATCAGAAATACACATATATATATATATATATATATAACAAAATTGACTTTAAATTTGTATCAATAAACCAAGATCCATACCAATGCAAAGTATCCATCTCTATAGCATATCCCCCTTTAAATGTAAAGTAAAGAAACATTTACAAAAATATTTGGGAATGTGGGTGCAGTTTTGTCCAAACTTCTTCCTGCTATTTGGGGGCTCCATGTCAGCATCCTTTCTGAGACTCCACATAATCCAGACAACCCCATCCTTTTTTGAGCTACATATCCCCAGACATAGAACTTTTTCTTTATAAGTATTTCACAAAATAAACAGATACAAGTTAAAAAAACACACCACATTCATAGAGAGAGACCACAGAAAATCTAACAGCCAGAGTTTAGGAAAGACTTTGCAGACTTGGTCTTCCACTTACCCTGAACTCTGTGCAACTGTCTCTCAACCTCGGCTCTTCCGGGGAGGTGATGAGTCCTTTTGTATACTGCCATCTCCCTGCCCTGGCAGACAATGTGACTCTCAGTTAAGTGGCTGACTCTTGGTTTGTTTCTACCTAAGGTGAATCAATGATATCTGAGCTGAAGATTATAGAAATGTTTACCTAACTTTTCCACGGTGGTGACAGGGAACAGTTACAGTCCCTTGTCTAGAAAGCAGTTTAAACGAGTAGAATTCCATCCGTCTGGGATAATTAGGCATGTGTGCGCAAAGCCAGGGAAATGAATGAGACAGAATCTACACAGCCGCACAGACACCGCCTCTGGGTTCTTGCTTGCTGCTTGTTTGACTATTCATTATTTCTAACTCAAGGAAGTGTTTTCTTCACCACTAATCTGTCACAACCTGTGTCAAATAGTTAGGAAGAGCTTCGGGGAACCGTGACACAAATCCATGAGTCTGCAGGCAGAGGGACCTGCAGTAGAATCACCCGCCTCCACACCCCAGCTGTCTGCTACCAAGGAAACTACTGTCAATGGAAGGTTGCCAAGAATGATAGAAACTTCACCGCCACTGAAATATGGATTCAACATTCATCTCGGTCTGGTTGAAAAAGGAGAGGAGACTTCTTCCCAGACAGCCGAGTTTGTTCCCTCATGAACAAACACCTGCATGACATTTTAAAGATAATTAGGTACTACTGCATAGAAAAATGAATTATTTTCCAGAGGGGAGAATATGCTGGAGGTGATTGCACATGCTATAACCCTAGCACCTGAGAGCTTGAGGCAAGAGGATAGACTTGAGGTTAAGGATAACCTGGACTACATAGAGAGACCCTGCTTCAAAGCAAACAACAAACAAAGGAGGCAAGGTGGCTTCTTTACTGTAATGAAGACCAAGCAGACCTCGGGATCCAACAGCCTTGTTGTTTGTGCACTATAAACTTGCTTGTTCAAGTTTTTAACCTCTGTACGTATAAACGTGGTCATAATTAAGAATAAAACTATAAATACATATTGAACTTGAGTTTGAAGAGGTAAGTCTGATCTTAGAATGGGGGTTCATGATCCAAAGAAACCAGAACACTTGGGAAAACTGTTGGTGGTCTGAGCATTGATAGTTTAAGAGAACATTCTGAGAAATTGGGCACACTTATATACAGTAATGAGTGACCCCCAAAAGAAATGTTCCAGGGGCTTTGGTTTGTGACTTATTCTTGTGTTGAAAGATAGATGTAGCAATATGCTGGACCGCAGAAGGCTAATGGTCGTGTGGTGGAACCAAAGAGAGTCATTGCTCGAAAGGAGGCTGCGAAGCCTGCTGCCCATTTAGCAGTGAAGAAAATGTTTGTTTGTGGCATTAAAGAAGATACAGAATGCAGACAGCAGAAGGGAATGCCACACAAGGCCTAACTATAGCATCTGAGACCTCAAAGCCCCATCCCACAGTGACACACTTCCTTTAACAAGGCCACACCCACTAATAAGGTCACACTTCTTAATAGCACCACTTCCTATGGTCCTATGGGGGCCATTTTTATTCAGCCCATCACAATGGTGGTGGACTAGGATATGGAAATGAAGGTGGTGGATTTAGTGGTGAAGGAGGCAGATGTGGTGGTTACAATGAAGGAGGAAATTTTGGTGACGGTAATGATGATGGTGGTGGTAGAGACTATAACGCTTTTGAAAATTATAGAGAACAACAGCAGTCAAATTGTGGACCCACGAAGGGGTGTAGTTTGGCCTGAAGAAGCTGGAACAGTCCCTGCATGGTGGCCATGGCTCTGGTGGTAGAAGTGGTGGATACAGCAGCAGAGGTTTTTAAAATAGCATCTTAGGGCTACAGTTCTTAGCATGAAAGAGTGAGGAGCTGTCAGGAAAGCTGCAGGTTGCTCTGAAACAGTGCTACCAAGTATATTAGAGAAACTGGAAAAATCTGCTACAGAGGAAGTGATTACCCATAGTCAGAAAAGTTACTGCAGTGTAAACAGGAAACCCTTCTTGTCCGGGACTGTAATAGACAGTTTGCAGCTTCTGATTGATGCCCATGCGCTGTAGTGTCAATTAGATGTGGATTCCTAAAGTCTTTTTCACTGTTGCAGTTTTGCCTTTTTTTTTTTCCTTTTCATTACATCAAATATATTGCCATGTAAATTGGGTTAGTGGTGCCAGGAATTTGAAAAGTAAGGAATCTTTAACTTAAAAAACAGAAGAACAAAATTGTATCCGCCTTTCTGTTATGACAGAAATCCAGCCAAGTGCTTTTTCCACGGTCTGAGTGGCTCCCCTGAGCTGGTCTGTGGCATAGTAATATAGCCACATTCCCAACCAGGTATCCCATAGTAATAGAGCCACATTCCCAATCAGGTACCGCATGGAAACACCTGCCATAAACCAACTGTAAAGGAGTAAAAATGCTCCGTACCCTGAGATGTTCAGATAAACTATGTCTCTTGGCAACCTAAACAATAAGTAAACTTTGCTTGTTTTGTGAAGCCTAAATAAACATTAAAAGCAGATGCAGTGTCCCAGGATTGATGTTGTTCATGGAGCTCCTTGTTCCCTAGACAGAATGATGTCAGGGGCTCCAGACATCCGAAATGACCTCCAAGTGGGCTGTGAGATATGGCTCTATTTTCCACATCATTTCATTAGGTTCACCATAAAATGTGTGAGTTGGCTGAAATGGAAACCGAGAACTGGGCCACGCCCAAAGTAAATTAGAAACCTGAGTATTGCTATTCATCCTCTGGACTTGGGGTGTGAATGGATTATTAGTTAGAACCAGGAAAAAACAAATGATGCTGTCTCAGACCTGATGGCAAAGAGGAGCCCTGCTAGACAAGGAACCATGTATATCAAGAACATGGGTCCCAGGGGCCAGATCAGCTTGGAGTGCGGGGAAGGTGAGTCATGAATGAGGAGGGAAGGAGTAGATGCAAGACTGGGGTGAGACGTGGGTCTGATGCCCTTGCCCCTCCTCTTCCGGACAGCACAGCCTAGGAACCCTCTGTGCAAATTCCAGATTCCCATCTCTGTCCCGGGTCTCTTTGTAAAGTCAATCACATATAACACATCTCAGGATCAATGAGGAAGTTTTTAAAGCCAATTCAGATGAAAATGGTGTAGAAGCCACAGGAAGAGACTGTATAAGGAAAGAAACTAACATTTTTCCAGCACCTATATAGGTCTAAAAGACAAATACTTTTCACACGTTCTACCCAATGTAATAGAGATGATTATGAAGGATTCACTAATAAATTGCTCTTTGGCTTATACTTTATTTTACTTTTAGTTTGTTGATATAGGGCCTCAAGCTAACCTCCTGTTGCTATGCAACCCAGAATAACTTTGAACTCTTAATATTCCTGCCTCTGTTTCCCTAGGGCTGGGTTACAGGCATGCCCCACCACCACATCTGGATTTGTTAGTTTGTTGATTGGACGGATCCAGTTGCATCCTTCAAAGATATCATTTCTTAAGTGGCCAGATGGTTCTTCAAAACCTTTCTTGGCGTCAGTATCTGGGAAGGGCATCACTGGAGTCCTTAATTAAGAATTAGTTAATTAATTAAGAATTAATTTTTAATTTTTAATGCTTACAACTTCAGGCCTTTTGTGGCTTGGTCACCTACCTGAGTGTCAGAAGCCCAAAGAGAGCATGACTAACCCAACCTGGGCAAACATGGCACAGTTCCTTATCAACTGGGATGGCACTTGATTTATGACAGACTCCTTGGGAGTCAGAGGCAGGAGGATCACTGTGAGTTCGAGGCCAAGTTGATCCACATGGTGAGTTCCAGGACAGCCAGAGCTGTATAGTGAGACCCTTAAAAAACAGGAAAAAGATTCGCTGATGCCCAGACTTGCTGTGAGGACGGAACACTTGAACAGTGCTACACGGGGACGAGTGGCATCACCTAATAAAAGTTTGATTTCTAAAAAGCAAGACAGAAAACACTTGCTAGAAAAAGTCAAGCCCATCAGGTTCAGCATTTACTCTACTTTGTTTCAAAGAAAGATAACTTTGTTTTTGTTGGTGGGAAGAGGGACCGGATTTTACCCTTTCTAATCATCCAATCAGGCTGAGAGCTCTGCATTGTCCAACATATTCACTTCTTAATTTTTAAGTACCAAAAACTCAACATTTTTTTATTTATTTTGAACTTGAAATAATTGTTATCACCATCATTATTATTATAACCACCAACAGGTTCCATTCTAAAGTTTATTGACAAAACATTTTCAGAAGCTAGAAGCAGCCCACCATTGGAAAGGATCCTAAAAATGGGGAGTGGGGTCCTGGCTAGTTCTTCCTGGGAGTACAACTTAGGAGCCCCACAAAGTCATGTACCCTGAGTGCCATGCACTTAGGACCGTGGATTTTGAGGCTCCCTCTTCCTGTTCCATCCTGATTACTATGGAGAACAGTAGGATTTCAGGTTTTCTCCTTCCTCAACTTACACACACACAAACATGCACACACACACACACACACACACACACACACATCAGACTTATATACACACACACACACACGCATGCATGCCCTTAAACAAAAAGAACAGAAACCAAGCCTGAAGCTTAAGCTCACCGATTAATGAAGAGTCATTTTGCAAGGGCTGTGTGCCAACTTTTCTACCCATGGAAAACTCCTGCTGCCTGGTGAGCAAAGCCTCCCCCACAGGCATCTCTTGCACAAACCAATTCGCTGTGGGCCTTTTGCATTAGAAATTCAGGGAAGTTGTGAATTACAAACTGAATTGACAATAAAGATTTCCTAAATGTCTGCCACGTGCCTCCCAATTATGTAGTATTTCACTGAACTGTTTACACAGACCTCCAAGGAGATAAATCGGGTCTTCAGGTCAGATGGAGCATAAACTTAAATCCCACCTTGCTACCTTCTCCCCGTCATGGTGGAGACACTTAAATCTGGTGTTTAATTTATGCATGGCTCAGTGCCAACCTCCCCTTCCTGCTTCACCTTCCTACACTATGTGGATACTGACCCTCCCCCGAACAGGCTGTGCTCCCAGGAGTTCCCAATGCCACAGCATCCCTGCCCCATCTCCACACCAGCCTTCCCACTGACTCCCTCCTACTGCAGGTTTTTTTCCTCTGAGGCAGGAGGTGATTTATGCAGGTATAAGTGTTCCCCAGCACTCAAGTGCTTTCTGTTACTAATGTTCTTATTTACTGTAAATAAGCTTCTGGAAGAAGGCCTCAGCCTCACACAGCCTGCTCTTTAGGAAGCATCTCCCATGCTCAGCATTCTCTAGAAGAACAGACTGAACATATAACAGAGAGAGATAGAGAAAGGAAATCTGATTAGAGCAGTTTAAAGGCTGTGGTCCAGCTAGTTCAACAATGGCTGTCTACCAATGGCAAGTCCAAGAACCTAGTAGTTCTTCCGTCCATGAGGCTGGATATCTCAGCTGGTCTTCAGTAGACACCAGAATCCCAAAGAAGTAGGCTCGAATTCCATTGACAGGTTGGACTTGCTAGAGGATGTGCGCAAGCAAGAAAAGGGTCAAAGCTTCCTTCTTCCATGTCCTTTAAGTAGGTTGCTACCAGAAGGTGTGGCTCAGGTTAGAGGTAGATCATGAGCTGTGATTCCTGACTTAGCCTACAAGCAGTCAACACTGTGGCTAACAGAGTCATCCCTATTAGGAAGGAGGAAGGAGAGGTGCTCGCCAAAGGGATGGTGGTCTCCCCTGCTGGTAACTTACTTCATTTTGTGCTCAATAAGGGAATATTGGAAATGAGTGAAGCTGGTTTTCCTCTGAGACAGTATCTCACTATATAGCCCCAATTGGCCTGGAGCTCACACAGCTCTGCCTGCCTTTGCCTCCCTACCTGGAATTAAAAATATGCACCACGACAACCAGATTTATTTAGTTATTTAGATATTGTGGGAAGATGTGTGTATATGGGAGGGGCCGTGCTTATGACACGACCTGAGTGTAGAGGCTGAAGGACAACTTGCTAAAGTTGAAGATTCTCCCCTTCCACCTGGGGACCAAACTGAAGTCATCAGTCTTGGGGACACACAACTTTACCCATTGAGCCATCTCACCAGCTCTAGAAAATGAGCAGTGTATAAAGAACGGAGATTAATTTCCTATAGTTCTATGGTATAAACCTAAGTTCATAAAGGCCCATGTGGTAGAGGACAGGATGACTAAGGAGAGCTTGAACTCACAGGCTCATGCCTTTGCTAACCAGCATGAATCCATCCCGAAGACTGCATACTAACATTGTAAACACCTGAAGGTCACCCCACTCACTAATCCTGCTGCACTGGCGATAAAGTCTCCAGTCTATATGGAGATGTGTTCACCCTGCAGCAGATAGTAGAGAACAGTGAATTTCCTGTCGAAACAAAGGAATAAAGGCAAGACTGATTCTGTTGTCCCATCCTGATCTGACTTTCTGCTGCCCACCTCAGGTGGGCTTCTCAGGGGAGGAAAGCACCACACACACTTCAGAAAAGACATCTACTTAGAAGTCAAGTGTGGGCCTAAGCTCATGCTGCTGTTGGAATTACTTATACAAAAAAGGATGCCACTGTGCCAGCTAGGTGAGACTTAGATCTAATCACATACATTTATCTGTAGAATCACTCATTCACTTCTTCACCTGGCAAAACCGCCTCATTTGCAAATACTCGTGTCAGATGCATTTCTTCGAAAGCTTCCACAGTCTCCATCCATTTCACAGATGCGCCTGAGCTATTAGGTCTATTGTCCCCTGTGGTTGGTGTGGGACAACCTCAAACATAGCGGCTGTATCACCACCCTTGTGGGGCCCTGGCTAGCAGGAGGTGATGCAGATTAAACCTGGAGCTCAGAATCATAGCAGTCTTTGAGGCTGTGATATCTTAAGCTGCCTCCACCCTTGGCATTGCACTTGCCCATGGCAGCACTGTGCTGGCTGGTCTTATGCCAGCTTGACACAGGCTAGAGCAATTGCAGAGGAGGGAGTCTCAACTGAGAAAATGCCTCTGTAAGATCAGGTTCTAGCAAGGCTGTAGGGATTTTCTTAATTAGTGATTGGTGTGGAAGGGCCTAGCCCATTGTGGGCAGGGCCACGCCGGGCTGGTTTTTATAAACCTGGTCCTGGTTTCTACAAAAAAGCAGGGTGGGCAAGGCAATAAGCTGCTCCTCTCCATGGTCTCTGTGTCAGCTCCTGTTGTATTTGGGTTCCTGTCCCAACTTCCTTCCATAATGAACAGATGTAAAAGCCAAATAAACCCTTTCCTCCCCAGTTTGCTTCTGGTCACAGAGTTTCATCACAACAATAGTGACTCTAGACAAGCAGTAATCACAGATATTTGAAACCGTGGGGTCCATCTGCTCTCATAGGTCAGGTACAGGATGGGTCATCAGAAGTCACTGACCACAGAGCCTGGCATGCAGCAGTGCCTACTAAGAGCTTGTGAAACGAATCTTCCAGCACTCAAGCCCATCCCTGTGATAGAGTGGATGCTGGTTATATAAGAAGTTCGAGTCTCAACAAATTGTGTCCCAACCACACCTAAGAGGCACTGTGGGTAACCTGGCTGTGGATATTTTAAATTGGTTCTTCATATTCTTCCAGCTGGAAGAGGCGAACTTGCAGCCCAGCCATTTAGCTGTTGGTCACCAGCCTCTCCTCCTAGCACAGAAACCATGACACAGGTGGTAAACTGACCTCTGACCTCTGGTACATCCGAAGTTTGCATTGAAAAGAAGCCACAGCTTGAAAGCATTATAGTGACTCACCCTAGCACAATGGTTCTCAGCCTGTGACTCGGGACCCCTTAGGCAAACCTCTGTCTCCAAAATTATATATGTGTGTGTGTATATATATATATATATATATATATATATATATATATATATTACAATTTATAACAGTAGCAG